AAAGGCCAAATATTTTATCTGATAAGTGGATGCTGATCCATAATGGGGAGGGGCAAGGGGAAAATGGAGGAACTTTGGATTGAGCAGAAGGGAGAGAGGGGAGTCAAGGAGGTATGTGTTGAGGGGTTAAGATGGTAGAATGAGATGGACATTATTACCCCTATTTATGGGTATGACTGCACAAATGGTGTGACTCTATATCATGTACAACCAGAGAAATAAAAAGTTGTGCTCCATTTGTGTAAATAATTAAATAAATGAATAAATGCATGTCTAAGGAATGAGAAGGTTTTAATAAGTGGACATAAATACCTGTGTTCTGCATCTGTTCTACAGAGAATGTGTGTGGGTGAGAGAGAGGAAGAGGGTTGACTCCTCACAAGAGTGTCACCCAGCAAGGACAAGGGTTTCCATCTGTTTTGTTCACAGTTATATTCCTAGTGATTTCAATAATGTCTGGTGTCTGCCTGATGCTTGGTGAATACTTATTAATGAATGAATAAGTTGGTGAAAAGACGGAGGGTAGAAAACAGTTAATGGCTAAAAGCATGGACTCCCTGCTGCCTCCATAGAAAAATGGTGCTGATGTGGGGGATGGGCTGTGAGCGACCACCCTGCTGAGGGGGTACTGAGGAGAGGCAATAATCCCCACCCCCCACCTCAGCTCCACTCCCACCCCCATCCTGTCAGATTTCAGGATGCCATTTGCATAGCTGATTTGCAGAGTTCCTAAGTTTTTAACGAAAAGCCGCCAGGCCTGACGTCTTTAATTGGAACTGAAGGAAAAAAGCTGCTCTCAGAATGAAGTGCCTTGAGTCAGGCCTCAAAAGGAATCATCACAGAGTTCTCCTTTGCACATCGTGGGTCTTTGACAATATGTGATATGCAAAGACGGTGAAGGGAAAAACGTGTGTGTGATTGCAAAAAAAGATGGGAACTACAGAAATCATCAGGAGCATTTAATTCAAACCACCGATGAATGTAAATTAGGCTATTTGCATAGAAATGTGGCATCACTACAAATATTGGTTAAAATTCAGAAATACATGAATAATGAATAAATTCTACCTTAAAGTTTATAAAATAAAAAATGTAATTACTCTTGGAAAAAAAGAAAAAAAATCTTGCACTTTATGGTGCTTAATAAGAAAGGGGAAACCAAAAATAAACTGAATATGGAAAGTTTACAGTAAGTACATCATGCTTTTTTTTTTAATGTTAAGAAATGACTACCTAATCAGTTTCTGTGATAATGATCTGCAATCTTACCAGTGTGAGATTGATGATAAATACCAAGTACTGATTTTCTAATAACATGAAGAATAGATAAATAACACATTTTCAGGTAGGAGTCACCCAGTCCTCTCTAGTGAGAGTTGTAAGAGTCCAGCTATTCTAATATAACTCAAATAAAAAATTTTAAAATGTCATTTTAATGCAAATAACCTAGAAGCAGGCTTTTAATCTATTGGTGCTCGAAGCTTATTTTTATCTAAGTCTTGGATAGTAAGAATGTTGGAAATAATTGAGTTCTTGTCTTAATTACATAAAGACTAATTTAGAACCTCATTTATTTGAAGGGTCTCTGGCATAAAAAATCCATTTAAAATTACACACAAGCGCAGGTAATTAAAAATTAAAGTTGAAATCAAATGGAAAAGACATGATTGAAGTGGGTTGAGACTATTCTGAGTCGCTCGAAGGGCATTGAAAGGCGAGAGGGAATACATAGACTTGAAAAAGAGGCAAAGAAAGGTGTAGGATAGTGGGATGTAGCTTCCAAAGGCTCTGTGGTTTTGCTTTATTTTGATTTTTGGAGTATTTCTAGTATATGTTCATTTGCAAAAGGGACCACATGCAATCAGGAGAGATCACCTGGCTGGGACAGAAGAGGGCTGGGGATTCCCAGTCACAAGACACCTTACCCTGGAAGGGCATGCCAGGCCTGCTGGCAACAAAGGAGGACACATCAGAGCCAGCATGGCCTTTAGGCATGGACACACCTCAAGCACAGCAAGCTCTTCTTCACAGAAAGCTTTTTGAGCCGCTTGAACTATTAATAACAAAATACACGCATGCGCACTGCGCACAAATTTAAAATAGTCATTGATAATCCACTTCACAGTTTGCAAATGGCTTTTATATACATAATCTCACTTCATCCTCACAACAGCCCAGTAAAGAATAAGTACATTACTAGCCCCATTTTTAAAACTTTTTTGACAAATTTTTTATTTCCTAAGCTACACAGGTACATAGTTTTTCATATTTTTATTGGTGCACCATAGTTGTATAGAATGATGGGATTCGTTGTTACATATTCATATATGCTAGCTCCATTTTGTAAGTGGAGTAGCCAAGATCCTGAAAAATTAGAAACAAACCTAAAGCACCAGGACTAAAAGTCAAAATATTTGACTCCAAATTCCAGAAGGCACTATCTGCCTGTGTGCTGACACTTTTCAAATTTTTCACCCTTGGTAGATTCTTCTTTCTGCATCTTCATTTTCCGTTTAATTATTTCCCTCTCCAGTTTTTCACTGTCGTCCCTTCCCTTCCCATTTTCTTGTTCATTTCCTGTCCATGCCTTGATCCCTCCAGCAGTCTCAGAGAGCTCTGCTCAGCCAGCCAGTCGTTCTCAGAGCTGAGGAGTCTTTGATTCAGAGGTTTTGCTTCTGGTACAGCAAAAGCAGTGCCCTCCTGAGAACTAGTTGAGAGCTCATGGAAGTACCCGCAGGGTAGAGGTAAATTCATTCCATGCTACAAAGTAAAAACCTGATAGGTCCTTAGATTCACATGGAGAAGCAGCTCTACGAAACCTTGGTCTTTCATCAACATCATGTCCCCATTCTGTATTACTCAGCCAGAAAGAAGAATGAAATCATGGCATTTGCTGGTAAATGGATGGAACTGGAGACTATCATACTAAATGAAATAAGCCAATCCCAAAAAAACAAGGGCCAAATGTTCTCTCTGATATGTGGATGCTGACTCACAATAGGCATGGGTAGGGGAGTGAGCGGGTGGAGGTTCACCATTTGGAGAGTGGAGGGGAGTGGGGGGAAGGAAGGGGGATTGGGAGTAGGAAAGATAATAGAATGAATCAGACATAACTTTCCTATGTTCATATATGAATACAGAATCAGTGTAACTCCACACCATGTACAAGAATGGAAAGTTATATTCCAGGTATATAGGTAAAATATACATTCTACTGTTATGTATAACTAAAAACAACAAATTTAAAAATTAAAGAAAAAAACATTAAGACCCCTTCTGGGCCCCAGAAAACAAACTTCTCTACTCTGCCCCAGCAAGAAATTCAGACTGTGTCTAGGAGGGCCACTTATGACCCTTTGCTAAATCTGGATTATTTCCCGCAGACTTTATAGATATCTAATGGCTGAGCCATGAATCAAATGTCCAAATCTCTATTCCTCTCCCAAGGACCAAGACAGCTCCTAAACAGGAACTATGATGATTTGTAGCAGTTTTCTCCGTGTGCGGTTTTTCAGAGCATTAGCAGTACCTGAGAGCCCACTGAACATGCAAACTCCCAGCCCCATCCAAATCTAGTGGACTAGAAACTCCAGGGAGTGGGCCCCAGCTATTTGTGTTAATGGGCCTCCTAGAATATCCTGATGCCAGCTGAGACTTGGGAACCATTGGCCTAAATACAACCCAGTGGGAACAACCCTAGACTAGGAGGCTAGCCCTAGACTAACTGTACACATGGTATTTAGTCTTAGGCTCCTCATTCACATATGAGCTCAGGTAAATTGTGTCACCTCCCCAGGCCCCACTTTCCCATCCAATGAAGAAGTCTTGTATGTGAGTGCCAGGCACTTTCCTTCCAAGCACATTCTAGGAGCCTTCGAAAAGTATGCTTTGACCGTTCCGTGGGCTACCGCTGCCTCTCAACATCATCAACATGAGTTGTCATCCTTACTCCACAATAATATCTTGCTTTCTTGAAGTCTTGAAGCTTATTCTTCAAGAACCTCTGGTTAAATTATAGTTCAACCTGCAAGTCAGTCCCTTAGCTGTCACCTGTATCAGGGTTACATGTCAGCTAATCTGAGACCTAGAACAGGTAGCTCTTAAAAGGAATAGGATCCAGAATGAAGGGTGGGGCTGGTCCCAGCACAGCAAGTCAGCAGACATACTCTATCCAATTCCCAGCGTCATGGAAAGTTAGCCCAAGCTTGGTTAGATTTTGGATTACAACATTTTCTTTTTTTGCTAGTTATAAGTCCTGCTGCCGTCCTTCCTTCTTACAGCATTAAATAAAATGTTCATCTAGAAAGAGTGCTATAAATAAAAAGAAGTTACACTCCCAAAAGCAATTGATTTATCAGGGATTTGGTTGTCATTCTGGGTCATTTAGGTTGGCGCCTTGTTAGAATCAGTGAGCCAGTCAGAGGGGAGTGCTCCATGAGACTGTCCTTTCACTCCTTCCGCAGGAATATCCAGGTCAGCCCCTCAGCCACCTCGTGTTAGTGGGATCACTACCACATGCAGGATCAGGGAGAGCAGCAATTAACAAGTTAGGAAGTCACTTCTCTGTGGAGCCCACAGAGGGATGCTTTCTACCTCCTATCCTCCCCAGCTCCTCTCTCCCTTCCTCTAAAGTCACTCCACAGAGGGAACAGGCATGGGTACATCAGGCTTGGAATAAGAGTCAATGTGGATTTTGTAACCTGTAACCTGACTTAACCACTTCACACCCCCTAATATCTTTAGCTATTAATGTGATTATTTTATAATATTCACAAATGTCACCATTTTAAAAAGAACATGCCATGATATAGGTCTTCTTAAACAAATCCCATCGTGTACAAATTATTGAATTCCCGGTAGATGCCAAGCCATGAACAGACCTAATCATACCGAAAGGGTTCATCTGCCACCTGCCTCATGCTCATCTCCACAGCCCTCCTACAGCACGACGTCTAGGAAGAGGGGTCACCAGCTAATTACAAAACCAGGCAGACACTTACTGTTGTCCTCAGTAGCACAATGTCTGCTTCTTGCAAGGAACACGGGACACAGCTTGCCCAGACATGCCAAGCCGGTCTCCAATAAAACACCAAGGGGAGGATTCCAAATGAGACGATGGATCCAGCCAGGCAGAGGACTTTCCTGCAGCTTTGAGTCCGATAGCCAAATATTTCCTGAAATGGAATCAAAATGACTCTCAATATTGGTTGAGCACGATATATGAACAAATACTGATTTTAGCAATGAACTGGGGGCAGAGAGGGAGTGTTGACGGGGGGCGGGGGGGAAGACAAGGAGAGGGAGAGACACAGTGGAGCAGGATTCCTGACAAAGAAATTTCAGACATGATCCCAGACCTCCAAGGAAGAACCATCTAAATGCAAAAATTCATTTCTACAATTTGGGCCCTCAGCTGCCCTGGCCCAAACACTATACCACTATGCCAGGCGTTCAGATATATGGGTTGTTGAAGTCTCCCAATTATCCCTATGGTCCCTGAAATATTACCCTCATTTCACAAACTATGGGACTGAGCTCAGAATGGCTAAATGGGACAAAGTGTCCAAGGCCTCACAGCCAGTTCCACTGCTAAGATTCAAACCCAATTCTGTCAGCAGGCGAACCTTGAGTTTGATTCATAGCTACAGCAGACAGGTCCACAAGCCTTGTGGCAGGAAAGCTAGCCATGACAGTGAACCAGTGATCCTGTTGGCTAGAACCAGCAAACCCCCCAGGCCGGGGAAAGGGCAACCAGGCTGTGAGGTTTGGAACCAGGATTCAGTGAAAGAATCTGATCACAAGAGGGTTAACAGCCAACTTGCTTTTGGGAGTTTGGTCACATATGTCCCCATGTTCCCCCCATGTTAAGTAACAAAAGGAATTTGACATCAGAAGGGATAATACATAGAGAATCTATAGTTCACATCAGCTTGTGTTATTGAGCACCATTATGAGACATGAGAGGATGTTATTAGATCCTAGACAATAGAAATTTGAACAAGATAAGAGATTCACCTCTCATACATGTCTAATCTAGACAAACTTCTTTCCAAGAAAAGTCTGGAGCAGAATAGAAAACTACCCTTTGAAGTTTATGGCCTTAGTCTCACAACTACTTTTCACAAAATCATAGGTATTCTTTTTACTGGTTATAAAACTGAGAAGGAGTAGAATGTTCTGGTTAAAAGCACATTCTCTGGACCAAGACACTTTGGGTTCAGAGACTAGCTCTGCCTCTTATTGGTTATGTGAACTTACACTAAGTTATTTAATCTTCTTTCTCCTAAGTTTTTTATCAATAAAATGTGGGTAGTGATAATATCTAGGGAACCAGAGAGCTGAAATAAAACTTTGCAACCTCCGCTTCCTGTCTCACCTGATCAAGAATACATTATCTGGAAAGGTTCTGTGATCCCGAGCTGAAAGCTATTTTCAAGTGTAATTATTAGATTCCCTCCTACGATTGGCAGCACAGACAGGCACTGAATGACATCCTTAGGTACTGTCCACATTTGGCCTGACTCTTATAGAATGTTTGCATTAACTCAGAAATCAAAGCTTTGACTTATTTGCAGAGTAGACTGTCTACCATAACATGAATGCTCCTCTGGCCCAAGCTCCAGTTTTTGCTTTCCTGGTGCCACAACTGGAAAGGCTCCCCACATCACATCCCTGGCAATGCTCTGTTTGTCCCATATGGAGTAAGTTACCATCATAGTTTCCCTCCCTGTCCTGAATCCTTCCACCCACATCTCCAGTGTGCTGTTCCATTGTACACTTTGTCGTTGATAAATTTCTAGCCCCAGCCTCATCATTTTATCACTATATATATATATATATATACACACACACACACACACACACACACATACATATATGTATATATGAAAACTTTTATACTGCCAGTTAGTTGAGCCCCCATGTCATCTGCCTGAGCTACCCTGTTCTGTAGCACAAACCTCTCAGTTAGCATGCGTTTATTTATGGGTTGTGCAACAAGAGTCCTCAATACTTTCCAAAATATCTTCATGCTCATTATTAAGATAACATAGGCAGGAATCACTGTCTTCATTCTCCAGTTTAAAAAACTCAAGTTTCAAGTTACTATTACAATAACAGTTATTATTAGTAACTAATTATTACTGATAGCGATGCTAGCAACTAACATTTATTGGGCACTTAAAAGTCCTTCACTAAGTACTTTACACATCATCCTCTGTTTAAGAAAGAGGAAATAAGTTTCCCAAGACACAAAGCTCCTAAGTAACTCCAAACTAGGCCTCCACTGTAGACCTCTGAAGCACATGGAAGACAATGTGGGCTGGCTATTTCTACTCTCAAGCTCTTCTACATTCTATCTTTAATTTTCAGTTTAATTTAACTGATGTTTATTGGGTCTGCCAAATAGCAGGCATGTGCGTGACCCAGAGATAAATGAGACAATGTCTCTAGCCTCAAGGAGCTCATTAGTTTAGAGGGGAGGGAAGACACAAATAGAAAGATTAAACACAGAGCAATAAAAGGTTTTTACAGAAAGGTGACCATATAAATTGTCCTAGGAATGAGGTGCTACTAATAACACTGGAATGATGGGAGTAGACAAAGGTGTCCCTGGCAAGCGCAGCAAATCGGCCCCTGTAATACCACAATGCTACTCTAGAAGCTTCCCTACTGTCAGCCTGCTGGACACTATCACTCCATTTAGTGGCTCTGTGATCCATAATACTAAAATTATTAAATTTTCTGTAGAAACGATGAAAAAAATGTGGACAAGGCATGGACAATTATTGCTTCTTGAAGTGAGTTGAGTTGTAATGACTCAAAGTGAATTGCATTCCAGGAATTATTAACAGATATTGGGTTTAAAATTACAAAAATTGACATGGTGCTATTACCATCTCATAGAAATTTATTTCCTATATTCATGGAGTGCCTTCCATGTCCCTGAATATGCTTGAGGTAACTCTCCCTGCCACCCTGCATTCCACCTACTCTCACCTCCCACAAAAAAAAGGGGGAATCAGTGAGCCAAAAAAAAAGAAAATTAGGAAATTTTCAAAAGAATATTACACAAATAATTAAACTCACAGCAGGCTGTGTGCATTATAGAACAGCACAGTTTTCCTGTCTTCATCCTTTGCTTACCCACACATTCTTCTCCTTCCTCAGTCCCTAGATATTCAGGTCTTTTGCATCTATAAGTGCTTAAACTTTGGCTTCCAGCTATCCAGGCCTTCTCCTCACAGGAAGCCAAACTTTGGTCCCAAAGCAATGGTTTAAACTTCCTCAGCGAGTAGGTCAACAGAGAGGCCAAACCTATGGACTCTCTCTTTATAAAAATATGCACACCTCTCCATCGATTTTCAGGGGTGTTCCCAGTTCTTCAATAAGGCCCTGCTCTGGAGGGCTCATGAGGTTGAATCTAGTTAATCTTTCAGAATTTACCCTCAGCACTTTAATTTAGGGTTTGACATGAGGTGAGCACTTGGTGATACGTGAAGTGTAGACATAAGAACATGGAAATGAAACAGGACACAGGTCAGTGGCTGTCTCCAAAGAAGTCTTTCCAGTGTGATGTCATCACGTGGGGACTACCAAATCCTGAGAGTGACTCTCAGCCTTCTAGTCCCAGAAACTGCTGAAAGAATCATTGTCCACAGGAAAGACGCAAGGTGAGCAGATTTCAGAGACCAGGGCACACAGAGGGAGGAACAGATGAAATTATCACACCAACCAGATCAACGTGGGGGTTGTATTATGATCACATTCCCTCCCCAACAGCACCATCCACAGTCATGGTTGTCCTGACAGTGGAGCTATATGTCAGCACAGTGCTTAAAATGGGCTCTGGAATCTTCTCTGACCATCTCACATCCTGATTGTTTGGCGCCCTCTTTAAACACATTAATTTGTTCAATCAAATTACAGTCAAATTTTGTTGGCCTGGGAGCCATTTAGTCTCTTGAAGACATTTTACATTTCTCTACAGGCTTTATTTAATATTTGAAGGTTTTAAAAGACTCCATTTTTAAAAGTTGACTTCCCTGAAGATAATTTCTTTTCCCTTATTTCGAAATGTTAGGTGTGAAAAGAATACTTTGCTGTAATTTCCATGCATTACAACACAAATCTGTCAAATGAATGCGATTTACCTTGCTGCTTACTTCCACTCTGATACCTATTAAAATTTCTGCTTCAGTAGTTTCTTGTTTGCCACTCTTTAGTACAAAGGAGAATTTCCCAAGCTTCTAAGTTAATGTGACTTTGAGATTCTCATACTGAACAACCTAATCCACAAATCTGGAGGCACACAAAGAATAACCTGCAGATAGGTTTCTCATTGACCTGCTAAGTATTTCTTAAATTTTTAAATTGGTCCCCCAGCTATTTTCACACAAAAATAGCCATTTCTGTTTTTTTCTTCCAAACAAATCAGAAATCGTGGCCATATTTCCCCCATGTTCTTGTACTGTAAGAATCAGGCAGAGAAGACAAAAAGACACCTTCCAAACAACCCAGGAAGGAGCTTGAACTCCACCCAGTGATAGGATACTGTCACAATCCATATCCACACAAGGGATTGAACGCCATGCTTCACGCACGTTGGACCACAGCGGCACCCAGTGGTGTGGATGACTCTGTGAACGGCAGGTGGACACGGTGCCAAGTATTGCAATAACATCACGACCACTTCATAAAGTTAAAAGCAAATTCAATTTAAAGTACTTTTTAAGGATACAGTTAGATAAAATAAAACCATATAGAAAGGGAAATAAGGATATGAAGAAGACACAATAGAAGACAATGGCCACCTCTACTAGGGCCAGGCAGGGGCATGACAGGTCAGACAATTAGATGTAGGTTATTTTCAGGATCCCAGTTTTCATCTGGGTGGTGGGTTCGTCACATTATTCTGAAGAACTAATGGAATAACTAAGCTAATGCCATATAACCTGGACAGATAACCAGAGTGCGTCACAGACCCAAGATTATGGATTATCTAATTGGGAATATCTGAAGTCATGGAAGAAAAGAAAGAAATAACCAGCTGGGGTGAGGAAGAGGTGCCCGTGGTAAGGAGCACGTGCTCTCCTGATTCCTGTTGTCCTTGCCACACTTTATCCTCCCCCTGCCATTAACCACATGTCAGGTTCCATCTCTCATCTCGTCCATT